GCAGTGCACCCTTGCCCTGCGGCAGTGACTGTGGTTGAAGATAAACCATGGTACATTATCTTCTCTCCTGTTTTGCCCTCTCCGGCCACCACGAAGCGATCGCGCGCTTTATAAGCAGCTGGAGCTGTTGTTTTCTACAGTGGATCACATTCCCCTCCCGGTAGAACCGGTCCATCGTGTACGCTGTCTTTTGCGCACAGTCGTCAACTTCATCAATGCTTTGCAACTGAGCTATCTCCCTTAAACCACTTCGACTAATCCTGCAGAACCGATGGCGAAGAAATTCTTTTTTTGTCTGCTGCTATTCTTCTGTTACCTTTCTCCGTGCCACCCACTGCCATCTAATTCTTCCCTTAATTTTACCCCCATCTCTCGCAAGCGTCGCGATTGTAGTATTCTCGCACGAGACAGCTATTTCGTCGCTGAACCCCACTCTTCACCTTCTTTCAATTCAAAAATCCAGTTTTCGATAATCCTATATGTATGTTATGTGTCAATCTTTTTGCGTTCAGAAACATACTAGCAAAACTAAAGTGCATCTAATGAGGCACATAATATATATATATATATATATATATTTATATATATATATATCTATATATATATATATATATATATATAAAATTTTGTAAATACGCCAGGTGCCTAATAATCCAGCCACATTGGCGCGCTGGTGAGCAGTGATGTAACAAGCTTCTTCCTGTGCGAGCGACTGCAATACTGAGAGTGGAGTCGTTTGCAGCGTTTGAACTTCAATAGAAGAAAATAGCTGTGCTCCGTTCTACACATGACGTCACACACACCATGCAAAATCGTTGTCGCTGGTGGTGAGCGGAGCTTAGAGACGGCGACATTTAGAGCTTCTTTAGTACTTCTAGGGCTTCTTTAGTACTGAATTATTCTTGTATAGTGTGTTTTTCGTGTAAATATAGGTGGAACAGACCATGCACTTTTAATTCTTGCCGAAAATCGCAAATAGCTGGGTGTTGGTGTCATCAACAGTTTGAGGACTTTCACAAACAGGTGGTTCATTGTACGCAGTGAGTGTGGTTAACGAAGATCATCAGAGGAGAGTGAAATCACGTTGTCTATTCATTTAGTTGTGAAATTGCATTTTGTTCAGAGATAAGTGCCGTCATGCTCCCAAAAGATGGGGGCTTTTAGGGGGGGGCGAATAGGTAAACAATTTTTACAGCCAGTATTTTACATCTCTAAGAAGGCTACGGTTACACCAAAATGGCTGACAGCATCTGGTACTTCTATTACGATCCTTCCTTTGATTTTTCTTAACATTGCAATATGTTGCTTCAGCGGCGCGTTTGCATATACTATACCTCGCAACAACATCATGTCGTCAAGGTTTGTTCCTAAAATATCAGAAAATATTTCTAGCGAGCTTTCTATTTTACAGGCATATGTGTGTATAATAGCTCGCATACTGGATGCTGTAGAATTTTCTTCGACCCTTATTCGTACACTTGAGCAGTGCGGAATGCTGGGCGTTCTTTTGCGTACCAGAATAGAAGGATAACTCTGCTACACCTCAGAACGCATAGTAGCACCACATTACATCTCTAAACAATTTTATCAGTAGACATATGGAGAAAAATTAGGAGGCCTTGCTCTATTCGCGACTCAAACTGAGCGCTTGTCACCTAGCGGCCGCGCCTAGAAACGGCGCTAACGGGGTCAACCTTGAAAGCAGACGTGTTACCACATTGCGCACGTTGAGAAGCGGCCGCATGTAGTTCTTTTCTTTTCGCCACGTCACGCGCGGGAGCCGGAAGAAAAAAAAATTGATGTCACCATTACAGTGTGCTGTGATGCGCGGCATCGTGGTGGAAAAATGGCAACGTATCGCTGTGTCGCTGCCAAATGAATGCAGACGGCGCGTGATGGAGAACGGCGCAAGTCAGCAACTTACGCACTGAAAAGGCGGTCGCAGACATCACGATAGTTTTTTCTAATGATTTTGTTCCAGACGGCTTGATTATGTTCGGTGAGTATGTAATCATTTAGCATCTCTGAATTTCATATCAATATTGTGGATCATCTAAACACGGAGTATAGATTCGTTTATATTAGCAATCGCTTTAGAAAATTTGTTGTCTAACATGTGTGTACTTTTTGTATGTAGGACTACTTGTTTTCTGCGCAAGACGCAGTGCTACCCATTCTCAAATTAGGCTGCTGTAATCCTTCTCCCGAACATTTTTTTTATTTCGCATGCGTGTATGACAACACGCACAAAAATGCGCGCACAAAAGCCGCATGTGCGTAGCATGCACGTATGTGTCTTCGTGTGTTCATACATTACGTCCGTTCTTTTGTAGTATACGTAGTGTGCGTGTATATATCTGCTTTGAGTATTCACTACTGTCAACACGAATAATCGAATCTTTGTAGGCACACGACGTTGTTCATTAGAAACCTAATAACATGGGTTGGCGAACGGAGAAGAGCACTCCTATTACAACTGAAACTAAGATATGCCTAATCTCAAATACACTGGCCCAGGCATAACATCGCTCTTTAATCAGCGTGAAGGGCATGCGTATTCGGCTTTTGACGGGACAACGAAACTAAATGAGATACACGCAATCAGCAGCACGACTCGCAGCGTATGGTTAACTCGAACACTGTGAAGCCTTGTCTGTAGCAGTGTAGCAACGCAGCGCAAAAGTGCTAGCACCTTTTCGAGAAGCCCACTACGCTTGAGCAGTTGCTTTTTCAACCTCGGGCTCGCTATGCGAATTCTTCAACTTGAAGTAAATCTGATGTCGTTCGCCGAAAAGGCTCGATATTTGCGCGCACAGCGCAACTATTTTCGCTGTTTCACCTATCAAACTCTTAATGTCGATGAAAATAAGGTCGTCCGCCATCAACGCCCTTTCGTCTTTGAAAAAGCAACATGATCCGACGCTACAATTAAAAAAAAAAACTTCAGCACGGAGCCGTGCGAAAGTACCGCATCGACCCTGTTAAGTACAGGCGTCATTGTTCTTTCTACCAGTGTTGGCCGTATAGGGAGCATTTTATGGAGTTGCGAGTTGGTAAAGTGGTGTCAGCGAAACGTAGCGCGTTCGCACGAGACATATGGTTTATTGCTCTTTTACTTTGTTTCCTTGTTTCTCTCTGTTTCTTCCCTTCTTTCTTCCTTTCTTTTCCTCTTTGTTTCTTTTTTCGTTTCGTTGTTTCTTTTCTTCTGCCTTTATTTTTTCTTTGTTTTTGCTTTGTTGGTTTGGTTGTTTTTTTGTTTTTTTTGCACTGTGCAATGCCTTTTGAAATAGAAAGACACCTTGATATAAGATAAAATTGCCACATCACAAACGTCAACGAGCCCACAATCTTAAGAGCATTTATTATTAGAAAACGTCGCTTACAGTTACGAATTCATCTTGTAACCTTCGCGGGTCATAGTTCCGCAGATTCACTGGCGCCGGTTTTTGTATATTGGCCATCCCCAATAAATGCGCAAACCATAAAAGCTTCTCCGCGATTGATGTATCGTGGCGGTAATTATTACTTTTATCAAGAAGTAACAGAAGTGAAACTAGGATAAAAAATTGGCCCCGTATCTACTCGTTACACTGCAATATCTACACGTTACACTGCAAATGTCGTCGAAAGACGATAGTCTTGCGTCTAGAGAGACATAACAAAACGTCTATTTCATGTCCTGCCCAAGAAAAACGGGGAATGGTATTCTGGAGGCGCTGAGTTGGAGTGCCTCGAGCGTGCAGCGAAGGCGAACGAGCGCATCAAGTGACGTCCCACGTGAGACATGAGCGCTATCTGGCAGTTATCTTAGAAAAAGAAGCTCGCGGTGTCCACGCCCGTCTCAGAGGTGATAAGGTGTACAACGCAAAGCGATGGTTAGGTGCCACCACCGTGTCGCCTTCAAATCGAAAACACTTACCTTTTTTGAGCATCACGTTCTAATGTCAGCGCAGCGGGATAAAGGCTATGGTCCTTAGAATTACTTATGTGTGCCTTCTCTAGTACAAAGACACAGATACAAAATATTGGCGTGTTGTTATGGTGCCTCAGATATGCGCGATAATTGCTTTTTAGTTTACAATCACACAAGTATGAACGCTGAATCTTGAGGAATATTGGTGGGTGCTGCGGATGGGGTGGGCCGTTAGGGGTATCGTCTGGTGCCGTGTAGGGTACTGTTAAGGGCGGACAAACAGACAAGTGTACAGACAGACAGACCAAAATTTTTGCATCGAAGGTCCCCAAGAAAGACTATCGTCTTCAAAAAACTTTGTGCAAGTTGCCAATGTCAAAACAATGTGTAAATATGGGGAATGTGGAAGTTATGCTTATCTACGACAGCTTCTCGAATACGACTTCATGAAGCTCAATTTTAATGCACTTTGGTGTTTCACGTTTTGGCCTCTAATGCGTATGCAATGTGGTGAGTTGGTATTTTTTTTATTGGTGACAGAAATTGTAGTAGTAATACATATTCATTTGAATACTGTTTCATATTTCATCAGTGTTTTATGTGGTTTCTTTTGTTTTTGCACCTAAGTGCATCGTTGTCTTGTTCACAGTGGCAGGCGCCCCTGTTTTTGTTGCGCAGTATTTTTGTGTATGTACACTACAGAGTGACATAGTGCATTCTGCTATATTTTTCGAGACATGGTAGTGGATGATGAAAAATAATTTACGCTATTTATCATTCCTGTATTGGTTATATCGATTGCTTTACCTTTTGGAGCTTGATCTACTTTCTGATGGTGTTAAACGTCGTAATACTTTATTTCCTAAAAACGTGGTAACGAGCCTATTTGTGCTAGAAAATAAAGCTTTATTTGCAGGCATGTTTTTTTTTTAGAAAATCCAACACTAAAGGCTTCACCTCATTAAAAACCATCATTGTTTTTATACAACTTTGATGAATCTTTACTTTTATGACAGAAAAGCGAGGAAGCTGCTGTATTCAACAAGCATTTATTTCAACCTTCGTTGTTTTTTTTTCTTTTTCCCAGGCCAGGAAATGGATGTCACCCTTAACATGATAGCCAGTGGTTATCATTTTCAAGTGTGGGATATTGACGCCTTAAGTGACAAGCCAGAAGGAAACACCTGGAACAAAGCTGTTGTAGAAATCGGGCGCTACTCACAGGAAATCAGCGTAGGACACTTTTTTATTGCTACCACTGTGACGTAACAGTACTCAGAGGGTGAAATTAGAGCCCTACATTACGGTTAACACAGCAGCGATTGATATTCATGCAGTATTCGGTGCTCTAGAGCACGTGCTATATTGCTTTCCACGGCATATGAGTGGAGTAGGATGATGATGATAATAACGATGAATAATATAATTCTTTTGCTGGAGTCCCTTTTAAAATGGGGTGGCGACAAGTAACCCTATATGCGACATTTTTCATTTTTTATAATGGGAGGGTGTTCATGTGTAGCAGTCCAATTTCTTGATATTTGTTATTTATATATTTTCATACCGGCGTTTACATATAATCGATAGTCACGCACACTTGAAATGAGTCTGACTTTATCAGTGTCTTCCACGTAATTAAAGCGTTAACTTCCAGCCATATCAAGTGATAGCGGAATCGTTTGACGTCTCTTAACGCCAAAAGAACTACACTGCCGCAACAAGGGCGTAGAAATGATGGACTGGCTGGCTGGATTTCGTGCCGACCGGTTGTGCACTCGCGATCTCCGATGACAGTGCAGCTCTGGCCAACTGGGTTGGTCCAACGCCTCCTCCTGACGCCTGTCCTCTACGACGACGACAGCGTAGCTCTGGCTGAATAGATTAGGCCTACGCCACCTCCTGCCACCGACAAGAGCTCTCGCCAGTGGTGCCTCGTCCTAGGACTCCTGCAACCATGTCCATCTTTCCAGTCTTCTCCTTACTTCCGTCGCTCCCTGTCACTGAGCCTTGTTTTCTCTTTCCTCTCTATCTCTGTACCTATTCTATCCTTTTAATCCCTTCTCTACCCCATCCCTCGTGAGCTACTGTTGAGGTGTCCTCTCCCTGAAAGACAGTTACGGGGCTCACTTTTATCTTCTTTTAATTTTTAATCAATTCCCCCGTGTAGGAATGAATGCAATAGCAACAAAGTTGATGCTTTTCAAAGTCATATTAGTGAGTAATTCTATTGCAAACGATCCCACGGAACTCTACGCAATCCAGAAATAAAGGAATATGGCCGCTTTAGAGTACCAAGTGTTTTTGTGCTGTCTATCAATTGAACGCGAAATAAGCGGTGAGACGATGGCCCGTATGTTATACGAGTCACTTGCGGAGGTCTGTCGAGAGAGCGCGTAGGCTATTGTACACGTCTGTGCCATTTTAACGCGATAGCAATAGAGAGCTCATGTCAAAGAAATTCCGCCGTCGCGTCGGCACCTTTGGTTGTGAGCGAAAAAATGTCCGTGAGCGAAAAGTCGAGAAAACAGCAAATAAAATAATAAATATCATTTTCAGTTCCTTTGAGGATCGAACCCGGGCCGTTCGCTTGGCCAGCAGGTGTCCTACAACAAAGCCACGATGTCACTTGAAGGTGCTTTGGATAAAAAACGTTACCTAAATGCCATGTAGTGGAAGCAGTCTTCTTAACGCAATTTGTTCAAAAAGTGTCACGACGAAAATGAGCCCATTCGGCGATTTGTAGGCGCATTTGGGAGGCCCTCAAACTACGTTGAAAAAGGCCGGGTCGGCATCGCCGCTAAAACACACAGGAACTTTCAACCAGCTCTAAAAGTGAACGACTATGTCCATCTAGCGGAAAACATATCATGCCTTTCCGGAAGCGTTCATCAAGCAAGCAGCAAACGGGAGATAATGTGCTGCCATTTGTGAGGCATTGGGAGACTATGGTTTCTGAAATGGCGAGCACGCGGCGTGTATCTTGGAGGCCATGCGACTCATTCTTTGGACTCATGGATTCATGCGACTCATTCCTGCGACTCATTCATGCGACTCATTCTTTGGTGTGTGTGTGTGTGTGTGTGTGTGTGTGTGTGTGTGTGTGTGTGTGTGTGTGTGTGTGTGTGTGTGTGTGTGTGTGTGTGTGTGTGTGTGTGTGTGTGTGTGTGTGTGTGTGTGTGTGCGTGCGTGCGTGCGTGCGCGCGCGCGTGTGTGTGTGTGTGTGTGTCTGTGTGTGTGTGTGCCTGTGTGTGAGTTTGTGTGTGCCTGTGTGTGTTTGTGTGTGTGTGTGTGTGTTTAACAGAACACATTAATAAGTATGCACTTAGCGGTTGAAGGGTGCACTAGGGCCTGGATTTCGCTATTGCGTTTAATTCTTAAAGGCAAAGCTTAAGGGTCCCCAATTTTTTTTCTATAAAAGTTCACAACTACTGCTTGAGCGGCGCATCCTCCCCTCCTACTCTGCTGCCCATTCATTCTCCTTCACCCGATAAAAAAAAACAACAAAAAAACAGGCATAGTGTTTCCTCTTCCGGATGCTTTGGAGCTGTTCAAACAAGGATAACTCGTGTATTTAGCGTGGTGGTGCTACTTTCTTTCAATAAATACGAGTCGAATGTTCCCTATATTTAGTTTGCCTTGTATTTGTTTTTATTAACGGAATCTATGTGTTTTTCTTGAGCTTCGCTTTTAACGGAATTGATGTGCTTTGCTTCAGTGTTTGTTTAAGTAATAGAATTTAGTCCGTTTCACCGTAGCAATACTGTTACGGTAAAACAGCAAAATATTCAATCTTTCATCGCAAGGTTCAAGCAATAGCAACAAGTTGTAACGTTTTTGGATTCCGTCTCACCAAACCCTACAAAAAGGTCGTGCAAAAAAATATGGGTGCTCCAGGGACATTTTATACACAGTCATTTTGCGTTGAGAATGCAGCACGTAGAAGGGTATACGAGCCGCCAGCCGCTCATGGCTGTCGAGATAGCGAGATAGCGCACCCCTAAATTCAATATTCACAGTTCCTGCTCGACCAACCCCCTCCCTCCTCACGTCAAAAACAGGCGGGGCGTTTGCTTTCTTCTTCAGCATTTGACACCTAGTCCAACAGGCGGAGAGAGCCTATAACATGTGCCCTCCCAACAAAAGATTGGCCAGCTCATTTGATCACTATTTCAGACACGTTGATCACTCCGCTCGCGCGCTACTAATCGCGGGTAGAACGTTTTCTACTCGTTATACCAGGTGAGGTGCTTTCTCACAAAAGTACTCGTGAAATGTTATTGTGCTCCAAATTTCCATTTCCTCAATGCGCTATAGAACAATAAGAACGAAGGTCATCTATCATCAACAGCGGGCAACTTTAGTGAGCCTGTGTCATGTCCTCCTGAGCCCTGGACAGTTTTCCACCTCTCAGGTTGTTCCAACATGAAACATGCCAACTCAATCCTTTCATAAGCCCCCATACAACCCGAGAGCACCGTCATGTGGCCCTGCTCAGCTGCTCCATCCGTCGAAACAAGTCATTGTCAGGAGTCGCATGATAGTGGCCACGTCCATTTTGGAGCTCCAACAGCAAAGGAAATCCAGCTATATTTAAAAGATAGTTGACCCCCTAGCAGGTAGTTGTCCGAACAAGCTTTCTGTAAATAAACGGGCAATAAATGTTTACCGCTACCAGCCCCAGCAATGGGCAATGGGTGTCTCGAGGTTTCCCCGATCGGGAAACTACAGTTTAAAAACTGTTTGTTTCTTTTTTTTTCAGTTTTACTTCATCAGTGATCAGTACCCACAGTCTCTATCTGTGTTTGCCGTGGATGATATCAGATATAATAACTGTGCATTGCCAGGTGAGTCTTGCGAGAAAAAAACCCACTGGCATTTCTGCTAACTGCAGGTAAAAAGAATAAATGGTGGATCCGGTGTAATCTACCTTTTCTCAAACAAGTAGGGCATTCTGCATTTAGATACTCCTTGATGATATTAAGAAAAGTTCTAGAAGTATTGCATAATAAGTGTGGTAATCTTGAAGGACCCACATTACAGGAAGCTTTACAACTATTTGGTCTAAGTTTTTCGTGTCTGCATACAACAAAAAACTAGCATCCCCAAGGAGCAGTATAAAAACTAATCTAAAGATGCGTAAATGAACTAGATTTCATGTCCCGAAGTGAGTGAGTGCGTGTGTTTGCAGCCACATCAAATAACAACAGAAGAAAAGCCATGAAAAAATGCGTGAATAATATAGATCCCGCTATCCATGGTTATTGCCGGTGAGGTGTCGTTTTGTGTGTGGATGATTGTCGGTGATAAGCGGGAGTTCGGGGTATTCCAAAAATTATGAATAAACGGTTTGGTGCAGAGCCCTCCAAGAACTCCGCTGCTAGAGGGCTACACTGCTGGTTCACATTTTATATTTATATTAGTTCCCTCAATTTTTTTTATATCAGAGTGAGCTCAAGCAGAGAAACCATGTGACGTTATATTCAGTAAATGAAAGACAGCCGATATACGCGCTCTAATATTTGTTCACTTTCAACTTTTACTACCGTCAGCTCAAGGGAACAGTTGCTCTGATATCGATTTCCACTGTTCGAATGGAGCTTGCGTAAAGAAGGAAGAGGTGTGCAATTATGTCGATGACTGCGGGGACAACAGTGATGAAGAACGCTGCGGTGAGTAGGCAACGCTTCACCCAGGTTCTGCCTTGTAATAAAGAGAAAGTCTTAAAGTTTCTTGCGTGTCCCCTTTACCAAAACACTGCTGGCGAATGGAGTGGGAATACCCACGGAACATACATTGTGCTCTGGCGTTATCACTTGTTTGCCTTGTACATGACTCTAGTCCATATGATTTTTAAAAATGGGCTTAAGCAACGAGCCAAAAAACCATACTCTTAGTTGTCTGCAGGCATCACAAAACTTCGAATGTCGTTATATCATCGCTAAGTCATGCCAAACCATTAGATAATTGTGCCGGGTTGACGTTATACAGTCAAATGATATCGCCAAATCACGCTGTTCGCTGGAGAGATAACGTTTCCCGGGGAAAGTGCATTACCACGTGAGGCGTGGAAAGCTTGAGGGGAAGAGGAGAGAACGATAAATTGGAAGAGCAGAAGAATGAAGAAGATGATAGAAAGAGACGAGAAAAAACATTTTGAAGTAGGCATAACGCTTCACTTTCAAGATAGCACACGTCAGCAGTTGTTTACGCATATTATCTGTGATTTGCGATAGGCCCACGAATGTTACGCCGCCACCGATGAGCCAGATAAGGATCTGCGTAAAATACGGTGACAAATATCTTTCCATATGCTGAGTGGGTGACATCTGTTGTTGAACATCTTGCCGGTGACATACCTCTATCACACGACTGAACCTTTAAGTGGGTGTAGTAAAGTCACGTAAAAAAAAAGTTGACAACTCCATGAATCATTCCATTAGGCTGAAGTTATCTGCACTGATTTGAATGTCTAAACGCGAACTAAAAAAGAAACAAACATACCAGTGAATGTTATTTCGGTCCGCTCAATCGGTTGGTATTATGCTGGTCATCTCCCCTCTTTTTTGTTCATTGATTGATTGAAATGTGGGGTTTAACGTCCCAAAACCACTATATGGTTGTGAGAGACACCCTAGTGGAGGGTTTCGGAAATTTGACCACCTGGGGTTCTTTAACGGGCACCCAAATCTGGGCACACGGGCCTACAACATTTCCGCCTCCATCGTAAATGCAGCCGCTGCAGCCGGGATTTGATCCCGCGACCTTCGGGTCAGCAGCCGAGTACCTTAGCCACTAGACCACCATGGCGGGGCTTTTTTTTTTGTTCATACTGCAAGATGCCTTACACTAGATAACTTGTTCCCTCAGGCACAGGCTCAATACGTTGATTACGGCGTAATATCTATTGTGCGAGCCTCTAAAATTTTGCAGAACTGATATAGTGGCATAGCCAATGGGGATGTTGGGGAGTAGCCCCCTCCAAAGTTTCGCAATTTGGTTTCGTATATATAGACCTACTCATACAGTGCACAGACGAACATGCGTGAAGTATAATTGAGCACCGCTCCCCCCCCCCAAAAAAAAAACAAACAAATATGGCAACACCCCTGGGCTGCAGGTTGTTATAGCTGAAGCAGTGCTAGACGTGGAACGGCAAATTTTAACGTACTTAACGTTTGATAGATACGAGCTGCACGGGAAGAAATCATTAACAATCATGTCCCTTTCAGGGGACTATCGTTTGAGCTGCAATTTCGAAAGCTCCTTCTGTGACTGGACACCACAGCTCTCGCCTGATGGAAAAACAAAGGGCAGCTGGCGTTTGGCTCATCCGTACGATCTTCTGATACACTCGCCAACGAGAGATCATACGACAGGCTTACCAGAAGGTACGTAAGTAATACTCATGCCTTTTAGCCTCGCAGTATATCAGCGATGCTTCAAGGTTTTATAGGAGTGACCCATGTTCTCAAACGTCTACATGCTTTAAGCTGGGAGATGATAAAAAAAAGTAGGATGGGCGGATATCTTGCACAGAAACATGTGCGTGGTGGGTTTGCTATCAAACGCTTAAGCAATCATGAAGAAAACCATTTTCGCACACACATACATGTGCTGAGTACGCAGCACGCGTGCCCGACCAATAACTCTACCTTTGACGATTTCCGCTTTTTAGAAATAACCGGAGTCAGTGATCCGTTCCACTCAAAAAAGGATGACTAAGTGACCCATCGGTGAGCAATCTTTTGACGCAGTGCGAAGCATGTTCATAGAAACGAAGGCTTCTTTGCTGAGATCAAGACAGTACCCTCATTTGGGCCTTGGTACCGAAACCCAGTGTTTCAACATGTTGGCCATAGGCGGGTACCTAACCAAGCGGGATAAAACGCATGAAATGCACCATATATAGGTGGACATTCGCCCTGCTTGGCCTCAAACCGGTTGGCAGGACGCGTGGGATCAGCTGAACCTGCGTGACAGCAAACTCAAAAATAAAATTTGCAGACAGCGTCAACGTTGCTGTGCTGCTGGTACTAGCATGAGAAACAGCAGAGAACAGCGTGGCCAGTAAAGACATTAACTGGAAACACGAGCGTTGTGCTGATAGTCACGTTTCTGAACAGTCCTGCATACGCGTTTTTCTACTCCCTAAATCAATATAAGATGGTTAACAGGGCCCAAATGTGCATGCTGCCACAAATATAACCACCACTGAATGGTTGTAATTGTAGGAAACTTAAAAAAGCCTACCGGTAAGCCGAAAATTAATTGAATGAAAATACATAAATCACTTGAAAAATTATAATGTATGTGATAATTGAAAGCACTGAACCATATATATGTTGTGTGTGTGTGTGTGTGTTTGTGTCTGAGAGAGAGAGAGAGACACTTCAAGAAAACTTCATTTTAATAAATATACAACGTGCCCCAGCAATATTTAGCCAGAGTTTAAAAATATGCAGACACACGCAAATACGACGCGACTAAATGCATGTTTCTCACCGTTGCCTAAACATAGTCAGACTATTTTTGTGTTCTAAAATCTTGTTTAATTTGATCTGTTTAATTACCTAACTTTTGAAGGAACCCAGATGGATATAAAATTTGGATAAGAAAGTTGTTGATCGCCTTGCAAAACGCGTGACTATAGCCAGTTTTGAGCATTATATCTGTTAATTATTAGTGCTTTTCAGCTAATAACAACTTCCCGCGAAATTAAAAAAGAAGACTATATCATCTTCAAAATACCACGTTGTGACCCCACTGGCGTGCCGACGTGCGCCGTGATTTTGGTACTCTGTAACGCTCCGCGTGTGAACAATACGCTCTCTCGCAGCGGCTCATGACAGCGATAAGGAGTCACAGCGGTTCTCGCTTTTGGGGCTGATAGCAAAACGTGTTCGTCGCAAAGCCACCACGATTGTTACAGCCCAGTTGAAACAGAAATCGGGCTGATCTAAGGTCGTTCGTACGAGCAACGTTAGGGAGCACTATAATCAACATGCGCACCGGTGTGCGATCAGGTTTGTCACGTGGTATTTTTTTGTAACAAAGTGCTTGATTGGGTTGGTTGGTGCTGCATGGTAGGCGTAGAAAGTGCTTAACAGCACAAACGACAGGAGGGGATAGAGGAGATCAGAACAGAGCGCTGAACTAACAACCAAAGTGTATTGTAAACCAACTGCAATATATAGGAAAACAGAATCTGCGCGCAACCAGGCAGCATCAGCAAATTCACACATACATACGCCAGACAGCCTACCTTATCAAGAGCCAGTCATATCAGTCAACTCTAAATAACTAGTTTCACAGCAATGAGAAAAAATCTAGGGCATGCTAACACTGTTGATGTCAACGACTTGTTTTATTTTTTTACCCCATGACCTTGTCTGCGATGATGTTAGCCAGTGCATTCAGCGTTATGGCTGCAACAAGTTTCAGAATGCATGTGGAATCCATGTTCACAGGTTTATGGAGCTACTGCGCTTTCATTCACATTCGACCTTTATAATTCACAAGGACACCTCTTACACTCAGCGGGAAGAAGTGGGCATTTGCTCATGTTTAGCTCCAGTTCTTAGTGGTCTTTTATTTGCGTGGTATGACAGAAGTCTTATGGCTAACAGTGATCAGACAAGCACAGTGAAAGTGTTTCGCTACGCTGACTTTTTAGTTTTTTACCTCATCGATCAATCTGACCTTCGCCGAACCACCGGTGAAAAGTTTGACGTATTTCGGCGTGAAATCAAGCAACTTCAAATAATGTCAGAGCTTACGTCTGAAGTCAAGCTACCATTTCTAGACTTATAAATGCTTTTTTGGAGGACCATGTCTGTTGGCGGTACGAGCCATGCCCAAAGAAATGCCTCCTTCCTTTTACGTCCACCCATTCTAAGCTAGTGCGTGCATGTGCTGCCTAATGTGCTGTGTTTATCTCTCTTCCCTCTCTCCTTTCTATCTTTAACGCCCCATCACCCTCCCATGTGGAGGGTAGCGAACCGGCTGTCTATAGGCTGGTAAACCTCCCTACCGTTCTTTCCCTGCTATTTTTCTTTCATTCTAAGCTATTCAAGTGAAGCATCGATTTTTCCTGCCTAAAGGCAGCTCTAACTCGCTCTTGTCCCCACAAGATAGAATGCAGTTTTTCGCATCAAGTTCACCGCCTTCAACAAGCATGTTTTCCTAATCGCCTGCTAACTTCCATCGCAGAGACTCTCGTTACGTCACTAAGGGTGCTTGATAGGGGACAAAGCAACAGCCAACTCAACAAGCCTCATTCTAGCACGGGTGTTATTCCCTACGTACAGAAATCACGGATTGAAACGGGTCACTCGTAGTGCGAGGCCGCCGTAAAGTCCCTGAATATTCTCTATTAAGAAACTTTAGGCCGCCGGTGCATGCGCCGTTGCTCATCTGGGCTCGCGGAATCAGGATGTTGCATTGTGGTGTACAGTGAGAGAGAGAACAGCTACGGAGAAGGCTTACTCCTTCCGGTCGCTAAAGAGTTGGCATTCAGTTCACTAAGTGCACACTGCCAGCATGACGTTGCAAGGCTCGCGCGCTTTTGCATGCATGCAGCCCGAATTGAGTGGACGGTGCGAACCATTTATACTGTGGCGCAAGCAGACGGCTCTCTCGATCGGTGCTCTTCGACGACGGGGCATGTAGGCTTCGCAAGTAAAAAAGTAAGATACCGCTAAAATATTGAGCCTGAAATGCGCTCGTAGACAAGATAATAGCTGCACAAAAGCAGATAAAGTTTGCAAGTCTGTCACTACGAAAAAGAAAAGCAGCAACCACGGGCCTGTTTCCGTGGAGCATAGGAACAATGACTTAATATTTTGTTGTTTCACCCCGAGCAGCAGCGAATAGTGCGGTTATACTGCGTGGCAAGCATTTGTAGAGCTGCCGGCCACAGAAGAACGAGCGAGCTTCTTGTATTTTTAGTCAACAATACGCCACACTTTGCGCTAACGACACTAACACACGATATTATTTCCATGTTGCATGAAGGCAATCATGCCACTTATGTTATTTCTGGTCGAGGCAGAAACCACGAAGTGAACTTTCCATGCTTTTGCGCACATGGTGATTATGTCTTGGAACGCACGCAATGCGCAATCTCTATACTGAATGCTGAGTCTTTCTTGCGCAGCATGCGTACGCCCTAACCTAAGCACGCAGAACAAGAGGCTTGTCAGCTGGCGCGGCAATAAAAGTATTGCGCAGCGGCGAGCCCGTTCGGTCGAGAGACCAATGTGCGTGAGCCTTGCAGTTCCACCCTAGCAGTGTACACGGTGAACTACAGGCCGACGATTCGGTGACCGGAAGGGGTAATCTGTGTCCGTAGGTGTTCTTCCCCTCAATCTATATCATAATGCTACACATTGGTTTCACGCGCATCCACGAGTGGCGGCACATGTACCGTCGACCACACGCTCCGAGTGTACTGTTTCAATTCGTGAGTACTGCACACGAGGTTTCCCATAGGCTAAAGAAAGTCGCTGGCAAAATAGGTGTAAGAGTTGTGTTCTGCGCACGCGACAAGCTCGCTGGCCTATGCCTCACGGTCAACAGCGAAGGTCCTAAGAAAGAAGCATGCACTAAGAAACACGCCACGCGCTATGTTGAATGTGTTTTAGCGATTGTATACAAGATATTGTTTACATGAGTGCTCTGTTACATTGGCCAAACAGGCCGATGCATAAATGATCTGTTGAGGGAGCACGCTTACTCTCGAAAAAGCTCCGTTCCCAGCCACTTGGCAGATCATTGTAAAAAGTGTGGTTGTCAGCCCATTCTTGGCAAGTGGGTGATTATGGAGGATAAAAAAATCAACGCTAGCGCGCGATTAGCCAAGTTTTACACATTCAACAACTTGGTGCTTCCTGTGTTAGTGCATCCTCAATTTTCTTCACAATTGTGAAATTAGTTATCGGGGGTCCACTGATATGAATAGCTCTTGACAAGGTAGGTTGTTTGGCGCATGTATGTGTGATTTCGCTGATGTTGCGTGGTTATGCGCAGATTCTTTTTTACGATATATTGCAATTGGTTTGCAAAAAATTTTGGTTATTAGTTAAGCGCTCTGCTCTCGTCTATTTCATCCCCTCATGTCGTTTGTGCTGTTAAGCACTTTTTTGTCTATCATTTTTTGTATTCTGCGAGCAATTGTAGCTAGCATAAAAACACTAATATTAAAATATAACGTTTAAAACTGTCTAATCGGACGTTTTCTATACCGATCTAGAATTTTTCGTTGAAAACTTTTATCCATATTTGTTCCTTCAAAACTTAGGAAATTAAACAGATCTAATAAAACTATATTTTAGAACACAAAAAAGCAAGCCTGACCCACTACAGGCAACGTCGGCAACGTGCGTTTGGT